ACATATATATATATATGTATATATATATGTGTGTGTGTGTGTATGTGTACATTGGCGCGAATTGGAAATATTGCGAGCAATTAGCCGCATTGGCGATTACGCGAATGGAATTCGTTCCGCGGTTTAAAACTGTGTGCGTCGAAACAAGTCGGTTTTATGCGTGGGACTGGTCGGGCGGAAAGGTTTTTCTTCCGTGAACGAGGATCGCCGGAATTTTAACGAATATTAATGTCGGCGCGAATTTCCTCGGCGGGAATAAACCTCGATCCGACGAAAAGTTGCGTAACGCTTCTGTCGTTTTACTTGCGATTTTCGATGACGAGGATTATAAATTATGTATTTTTTTTCTTCTTTTTTTACTGTGAAATAAAAATACACTCGTATAGATATTCGATTCTATATTCTTAGACTTGGAAAAGATCGATTAATACATATATATATATATGTGAATAAAACATTTCGAATTTCTCGAATTCGAGCATACTTGACTAAGAAACTCGATAGAACGGTTTCGATCTTTCAGACGAGCCCTAAACGATCTACTAAACGAGCGGCTATTTCACACCGAGTGGCGAATAGTTTTCGAAATCGATCAAAACCGAAACCGCAACGACGACAAATATTCCACGAATCTAACTAACAAACGAGCAAATTTATCGAATCGATTAAACAAAGAAGGGAACAAAAAAAAAAATCCCCAAATTACTCTCTCTCTCTCTCTCTCTCTTTTATAACAAAGCAGAAAAATCCAGCAAAAAAAAAAAAAAGAAAAAAGAAAAAAAGAAGCAGAAGAATTTTTTACACGCCACTGTGCAAACATTTTTCGTACTCGTTTATCGGACACGGGAAATCGGTCGTGCTCGAGAGAACTTGTTTCGCGAATGATTTACATCGAAAGTACGTGACAATGGCGAGTTTAACGAGGATCGGCGTGAAATCGGGGAGAGGGGAGGGAAAACGAGACACACGCCATAGGTGTCGACGCTTGTTTCGACGGGTTAAAAAAGCCGGCTAAAATCGAGAGAGCCATACCTCCCCCCCTCCCACTCGCCCACTCGCCCGCCGTCCAGATGAATGAAATTTGCAGATTCACGTGTATCACACGCGAGCGAGTGGCATTGTTGCTGCGCCGGATGGGGTGCCCGTGTATCCACGCGTGCTCGCTACAGACGGCTAATTTGACTGCGGTGAGGCATGGCGTCGCTAAATAGTGGGCAAAATTGGGCCGATTCGGTGTTGAGCCGAATTGCCATCGTTGATCTCTCTCTGCATATTTTATATATATATATATATATCTGTATTATGATGCTGGATAAAAGTTTGAAAAAAATTGATAATTCGAAATTTGGATTGTTGTGGAATTTTTTAATAATGGCAATTAAAAATCTTCTTCGTTGATATGATAAAAGAGAAAGTAAATTATTCTTTTACTTAGAGATACTGTATATTTTTATGTATATCTCTCGTATATATACAAACTTTAAAATCAGAAAGTTTTCGGATTGGATAAAAATTTCCTCGTGAGATAATATTCAAATATTTTCGAATGGCCGTACTCTCCGTTTATTATTTATCTCTTTATCGAAAGATAAAATACTTTCGAATCGAAAATTTCTTCGTAATAACATTCGAATGTATCTCTCTCGTATCTCTCCATAGTTTTATCTACGCGCCTCTTTGTCTCGAATTTTTATTTCGAATCTATAAGATAACGCACCTTTCCATTGTTTATGTAGAAATTTTTCAGTCACAGAAATCAGAATTTTTTTTTTTTTAAATCTCCTCTCAGAGTGATGATCGAAATTTGCCCTTAATCGTGCATCTCTCTCTCTCTCTCTGTCGAGAGCGAGTGAATAGAGGGATCGTCCGCGAACCCGTTCTTCCTCCTCGTCGATTCTTCACGCTCGATGAACCGCTGCCGCAGCCACGAGACGGGCATTAATTTTCCGCGATTCGCCTCGTATTGATCATGCTTAACGTCGACGATCGTCTGGAAAGGGTGACGAAGTAATGGCAGTAATGATTCTTCCTCCTTTGGAGTAGACCTTTTCCCTTATACCTTCCTTTTCCTTTTAAACGTATGGATCTTGCTTGCTATATTAAGTTCTTTAATATATATATATATGTGTATATATATTACGTTATAGTAAATAAAGATAAGATACAGGCTGGTGAAAATTAGTCAACCGCGACAAGTGTCGGATCGAATCAGGCGAAACTAGCTGCCCAGTCATCGCGTGTATACTTAAACAGTTGAGTTAGCTCGAGGTTAAGTACCTCGAGGAGCGTGATTTCATTCATCTCATCGCGTTTAAAAATAAAATGGTGGAGGATGCAATTGACGGGGGATGGTTAACACGTTCGCACCTAGGCTTCGAAAATTCGTGATATTCGTTATAATATTCCGTGTAATATTTTCCTGGTGATTTTATTATATATATATAAAATTATATTATACAACGATGAAAAGCGAAAAATCCTTCTCTCCGGATCATTGGCTTTCTGGATCGATACGATACAGTGGTTTATTAAGCATAATGAGATTAGTATGTAACATAAATGACGGGTTGTAGATTTGTAGATTCTTTTTGCAGGTTGGTTACTTTTATTTTACAATTTTATTTTACACTCAGATCTTCAATAGATGTAAAAAATTTACAATAATTTAAAATTTACAATCTAGAGAGAGAGAGAGAGACTAAGAATTGGAATCAAGAAATCCCTTTCAATTTCAAAATTTTAATCGAGATAAAATTGGATAAAACATCTAAAAAATAAAATATATTAATTCTTCTTATTGCGAGAAATGATCAAGTTTAAATTCGAAAGTCGAGGAACAGTCTCAAATATTTCGTTACGATGAAAAATAGAAATACGGAGGCTTAGAATACTTGAATTATATTTTTTTCCTTTTAATAACCCGGTTAATTATTATCATTATGAGACAGCTCTATTACTTTCCACTTTTCGATCAGATTTTCTCAACAAGCCCGCTCATACCACCCGTGATGCATTTAACCCGATACTTAAATATTACTCTCCGCATATTTCGAACATTCTACTTGCCCCGGATAATTACCCAGAAACTCGTTCGTGCATCGATTCTGTGAAACGTGCAGATATCAGCCGATGCAACGTTCCGTGAATTTTCTAATGGAATCACGCCTGATCGTTGCCAATGAACCACAAGTAAAATTAGACACGATAAAGTGTTTCGTGACGGGAGAAGAAGAAAAAGGAACCGCAGCAATATACCGATAAGCAAAGCCTATTCAACTTTCCCAACAACTTTGAGGAAAACGTTTAAGAATCGAGTAATAATTTTCTCGAAATAGAATACTCAAAATAGAAAATTTTGGGTATTCTAATAAAACAGTCTCTTCTAAAAAATATTTAAAGAAACCAAAAAATCGTTATTTTCCAATCGGTGGCCGATTAACCGTAAATTAAAATTAGACTGCGATGAAGGGTTCGCGTGACGCGGAGGAACTTTGGAGAGTGGCTATCGAGCTCTCCTCGACGCTTGATGAACCACCACCGGCCTACCCAGCGATGGCCAGCGACGCTTCCGACTCGGTGAACGCGCGCGCGCAACCATCCACACGCGCGCGCCCCTCTCCCTTTCCTTACCTTTCTCATGGACACCACACCTCTGGTACCCCTGCTACCCGCCAGGTACTGCTCTGCTCCTCTCTTTCCCTCTCTCCCCGCCGTCCTGCTCGCACCCTTGGCCCGTACCCTCGCCTTGCCTCGGATTTACCTACCTCGGGCACTCATCTTCCACCATGTCATTATGTCGTTATTTCCGACAACGAGCGTGTCTCGACGGCGAACCCTCGCTTGCACGCTTGCCTCCGACAAAAATGGGCGCGAAAGCAGTTTCGCCCCGAAATCCGACTACAAACACGGCGGGCACCCGTGAATGAACCGCTGTCGCGCTCGATCTTTCAGGAACGGGGGCACGGGACCGTGGACAATC